AGAGAGAGAGTCATTAACAAATAAAATTAAATATAATTTTCTTTGTGACATTTGAAAGATTAAATAAAATTAAATAATTAATAAATAACAATTGAAATAAAGGCTAACAAAGATTAGGATAGTGACTTAAATAGGAGAGCACAAATGCTAACATGCCCAAAAACAATTGATTAAAAAGGGATAGAGTTTGAGAGAGAGTTGAAGGGTATTTGTTCACCTGTTTTGGTTTAGTTCTTGTGATAGTAGGGTTCCCATTGGCTTGAAAACCTTTTGTGGTCAACAAGTCAACTTTCTTTGGTGTGCGAGCGTGCCAATGTTAGCAATCAAGACCCTAACAGACTTATGGAAAATAGATAACTTGCGCCCCAAGTTACTGACTTGAAACAAGTGATTGTGAATTTGGGTAAGGAATATCTCCCAAGTAAGTTATTTTCTTACCTCAAGCTAGTGATGGCTTCACAATTTCTTACAGTAAAAACTAGTAGTTCTGGCTAAAATGAATATTGAAAATAAATCAAACTGTTTTAAAGAGAACTGCGTATTACACAATTTAAAACAAAAGGGAACTGCCACGTCTGAAAGGACATCAGAACATTGGGCTTCGATTTCTGCTTGGATTGTTGCCTGTGATTCTGGCTGGACTGGATATATCTGTGCTGGATTCAAATGTCAGCACCTTCAACTAATGAGGTTCAACTAGAAATCGATACCAATGTTGAGAGTGGCAGAGCTTTAATCTAATTTAGCCATGGAGAGGCTTGCTGAATGGGCAGAATTGAGATCTCTTCAGTCTGAACAAGGCTGGAAGTGACTGGATTGATGATTGCTGATCTGAGGCTACTTCAGTACCTGTTCTGCTTGATTATTTGTTAAAATTTTCATATTATGAAAAACCTGAGTTCTGCTTGATTCTATGCACTAAGATGATTTCTAGCAATGATGAATTAGGTTGAAAATTGACGAGAGAGAGAGAGAGAGAGAGAGAGAGCCAAATGTTTCCCAAACGTTTGTGTTCTAAATGATTTTCTCTCCAATTTGTGAAATGGAATTTTGGATGCATGGATGGCACGTAGCTGCAGATGTGTGGAGAGCAGAAAGATTGATCAGGAAGGTGTATATGCTTTGTTCAATTGTTCCTTTCCCTTGCCGGACGCAACCATATATGTTTGGTTTCCATGGAATTTTACCTGTTCGGTGCTTTGTGCAAAGAAATTTAAAAAGAAGAAAGGACTGATGTTCGTTTACCTCATCTTCCACATTCTGTTTTAGAGCACTACAAGGACAACATTTTGTTTTTCTTTTTAACCATTTGGACACCATAATTGTTCACTCAATTATTTACGTCGCTCACTTTTTGACTCACTTATTCCCATTAGGTGATATATTGACACATACATTAATATTGTCACGTCATTTCACAAAAAAATTATTGGCTCTAGCTTTATTGTTTATGGTTATGTTGGCTATGTTGATTCTTTCCGATAAAAATCAAATTAATCATTTTTTTATATTATTCATGAGGAATATAGAGAGGCAAAAGAAAAGGAACTTATTATACGGTTCAATCAAATAAGACTCCTCATCTATTGGAATCGAATTGTGCTTTTAACATAAACGCTTATAGAAGTGCTCGCTACAACATCATTCACAAAGCTGATGAAATTTTTTTTTGACTACATAGTTGTCTAGTACCCAGCTTGCAATAATACTAGAGAGACACAAACTATTCTCTCAAGTTTTGATTATTAATTAATGCAAGAATACATGAGTGAGAAATATATATGCCACGTCAGCAAACTGACGGAGTTTTTTATGGAACTTAACTGCATGGATCATTTGTGAGCACCATACTAACCTTGAGATCCATAAATGACACAAAAAAGCATTAAGGATGCAATCTGATAGTTTCGTAAACCTTAGGGACGTTTTGTGATATTAAGCCAAAGTTATAATTGTATTGGTAGATTTGGGCTCTGTGATTGATGTCTTGTTTATTCATGCATGTGGCTTTTATTCCTTCTCTAACCTTTTGTGGCCTGCCTGTATCTGGATTAACCTTACACTACTACGTTTCACTATTTGCGCGACGAAATATTGCGCGACGAAGAACAACTCGTCGCGCAAACAATACTTGCGCGACGAAAATATATATTCGTCGCTCAATCCACTGAAAATTTGCGCCACCAAACTTTTTCGTCGCGCAAAATGTATATGCGCGACAAAACAAATTTTCGTCGCGCAAACAGAGTTAAAAAAAGCGGGGGGAATTTTTTTAGCGCGAAACATTTGCGCGACGAGAAATATCGTCGCTGAAGGGAACAATGCGCGACGAACACATACTCCGTCGCGCAAATAGGACAGTCCCCTGATTTAGCGCGACGGAAAGACGTTTCGTCGCGTAAGAGAACAAGAGATATTTTATTTTTTGGCGCCAAAAATGACCTAGGTGGGATATTTTTTTTTGCGCGACGTAATTATTTTTCGTCGCGTAAAGTTCAACATTTACGCGACGAAAATCTTGTTTTGCGCGACGAAATTTTGCAAGACGGAAAGTACCAGTGTCGCGCAAAAAGTTAGATGTCGGCAGGTGTTTGCGCGACGAAAAAATGTGTTTGCGCGACGAATAATTTTGACGGGGAGTTTGCGCGACGAATAGATATGTTCGTCGCGCAAAGTCCTTCTTCTTCATATTAGATTTCTGCCATTGCAGAGGCAGAATGCAAAAACAAAGCATTCTGCCTCTGCCTCTCTCTCAACCTCTCTGCTGCTGTTGGGATTTCAATACATTGATTGGGTAAGTATTTTTCGTCATTAGTTTAAAAGTATTAATTTAAGTTCGTACTAAGGTTTTTTAATTTGTTTTCGTTAGGGATATTAACTGACGGAGTTTTTTATGGAACTTAACTGCATGGATCATTTGTGAGCACCATACTAACCTTGAGATCCATAAATGACACAAAAAAGCATTAAGGATGCAATCTAATAGTTTCGTAAACCTTAAGGACGTTTTGTGATATTAAGCCAAAGTTATAATTGTATTGGTAGATTTGGGCTCTGTGATTGATGTCTTGTTTATTCATGCATGTGGCTTTTATTAATTCCTTCTCTAACCTTTTGTGGCCTGTCTGTATCTGGATTAACCTTATGTGGTTACTATGTTTCCATATTTGTATTACCCCTTTGTGAGCATTTGTATTTGCCCTTGTGACTGATTATCTTTGTACCTAATGGATGAAAACAATTATTGTTTTTCTCTGAAAAAAAAAAAGAAAAAGAAGTGAATCTAAGCAAATCGACTACTTAGATATATAATTAATCTGATTTTCTAATTACAAGAATGAAGAAGAGGATTCTCTAAGCATATTATTCAAGAAGATATTGATTTAATCTTTTTAGCATCTATATTTAATTTATAAGTCTCCATTTTTGAATCAACTAACAACAAAAAGAAAAGGTCGAAAGTAATTTTCTTGATTAAACTGGGAATCTAGTTTATGATTCGACAAATTAATCAAAGCATGATGGTTGACCAAAACAAAATAAAAGTTGATGACTATAGGGCAAAGAACAATAAAAACAAAAGGAAGACTAATTAAAGTTGCACGTTTACTGGCATCGTGGCCAATATCAATACGAAATTCCACAAGATATTCCTCAAAATTTCGAAATTCCACAAGATATTCCTTTAACTTTTGCTTCTATTTTCATTTGAGTTCTTGGTGACCATTTCCTCTTGAACTAGAGCTAGGTTGTACAAACTAGAACCTCCATTCCAATTTGGTCACCCTACATATGACAAAGGATAAATGAGACATGAGAATGATAAATAAAACATTATGTTAGAATGTGTTAATGAAGATAAGTTACCTGAAGATAATTTTCATGGACTGTAGGATATGTTATATTTCATGTCAATGGTCGTTTGTACAACTGATCTGGATGACCACCATGAGTGAGCCCTAGTAACAAAGCCATATTGTCCTACAATACACAATAACAATTATTAGAATTAATTACAATAAAATAATTATCAAACAATAATATAATTATGTCATACCATTACAGCATTATTGCTCTCTTGTGTTCCAACCAAGTTATCACTTTCACAAATTGGTGGAGCATTAGTATGACAAAAGACATCACTTTGTGCAGGTATCTACAAAAATTTTAAGTAAAATATGTAAGACATCTTGACAAAAGACATCACTTATATATATAAACAAATAAGTTGTAGCTCTTTTATTTGCTAACCTCTGTTCCTCCGTCGGTATTGTCTTGACGATATTTAGTTTTTTTTCCCGTTCGTTGTCTCTTTTTAATAACTTGCTCAGTCTTAGATTGTCTCCTTTTAAATGGTGGGCGGTCTTTACTTCTAACTGGCAATGGAGTAAGTATATGTTGACTTGCATTCAGAAGGCCATTAACACCAGACTCAAAGCTCTTACCAATGGGCGACTGTGGAGTTGGCTCAGTTCTTTTACAAGTTCCATCACGTGTTTGCATATTTCCTCCTTTAGGTTATGCAACCAGTTCATGACAACCATGCACTTATCATCAGAATCATTTGCTAATTCCTTAATGTCATCAAAATTCTTCTGCATCTTAGCAGATCGTTGTGCTTCAGGTGTGGCAACCCAATCAGTATAATTTATTCCTCCATCTTCGCATGATATATCTATCTGGAATATTTCTTGTAACTTTTCAACTTTTCAGGAACTTTCTTCATTATATGCCACAAGCACAATCGATGACTAGTCTTTGGAAAGACTTTTGCAATTGCATTTTTCATGGCTTTGTCTTGATCTATAATTATTCCATTCTATTTTTCATGGTTTTTTCATGGCATACGATCCCTTTACAATAATTAATACTGCTTTAAGAAAGAGTTTGCTTATATATTGAATGAATTATATTCTATTCCTCTCTCACTCTCTCCTTGTCGCTGCTCACTCTCTGATACTTCTCTCTCTCTCTCTCTCTCTCTCTCTCTCTAGATAGAGATGGCTGACCCGATCGCTGAAGACTTTGATCCGCCACAGAAACCCAAGAGAAACAAATTCGCCATTGCCTGCTCCCTTTTGGCTTGCACGCCATCAATTTTACTGGGCTACGGTAATTATCCTATTAGCACTCCAAATCGTTTTCTCATACTTTTTTTAATCTTAATTTTTGCAAGAAAAAATTGTTGGTTTTGGAGTGTATGAACTGAGCGTGGTCACTTTTGTTTACAGATATTGGTGTAGGAAAAAAAAAAGATTTGTTTCTTACTGCCCTGCAGAAGAGCTGTGTTTTTCACATATGTATTGCATTGGAGTTTCTTCTGTCATCTAAATAGGTGCTACTGCAAGGCAGAACCTCCGATTGGATCGGGCGCCGGTACACCGCCGTCCTCTCCGGAGCCATCTTCTTTGTCGGAGCTATCCTCATGGGCGTAGCCCCGGGCTACGCCTTCCTTACGTTCGGCCGGTTCGTTGCTGGAATAGGTGTTGGCTACGGTCTCATGATCTCTCCGGTCTACACCGCCGAGATCGCTCCGACTTTGTCCCGTGGCTTCCTCACATCTTTCCCTGAGGTTTGTTTTCTTTCCTTATTTGTTGTTATGTTTCAAGTTGCCAGTTGTGTCACGGTTCTAGGATCTTGATGAGTAAGAGAAAACTTAGGTTTTGATGTATGTTTTTTTATAGAGGGGGTTTAGGGTTGTATGATGCTATCCGATGCCCTGGGTTATCATCTTGTCTTGGTTATTGTCTTTGTAAACGAGTACGTTGTCTGTCATGTTGTGGACTGCTGGAACTTCCCACCTGAGGGCTTTGTTGTATGCTTGTAGCTGTAGTTGTGTTCCTTGATCCTATGGATCTTGCATCTGCCGCCAGTTATCAGGCTTCAGGATTAAGGTTTTAGGCTTGTTTGTAAAACAGTGCTGGTTATGTATGGTAAAAAGTGTTATGAATGTAGGTGAAGATTCAATCGATGAAATTAGGGTTACAAACTTATAAGTTGAGCATGTGCTTGGTGGCATTTGTAGCCAAACCATGAGATAGATGTTAATTTGCATTTGATGTTTGGTAGTATACAACAAAGGTGCTGGTTTGAATTACATTCATCGGTTGCTTTGTGCAAATTTTTAAATCATTTCTCGCACTTCATCAAGTACAAGCCAGGCTTTATCTACACAAAAAAACAATGAAAGAGAACTTGTGCAATTCCCTATACAATCAGAAAACTTGTCGTCCACAATGAAAAATCTTATCTGAATTGTTGCCAATAAACCATATAAAAAAATCTATAGCGTGAGGGTGAAATTCAAATATATAGGGATATTTCCACTCTTTCACAAGTAGGTAACCCTGTTGTGTACTACAATATCAAAATTAGTTGCAATTGATCACAGCGTGAAAAAGGTCAACACACAGATATGACAAGCCAAAAGCAAAAAAGCAAAAAAGAGGCATGACATAAATGGGAACCTCAGCAGAAAGCATCATATATGCATACAAGCAGATTGGCTCCATTACAATTGCGTGTAGAACTTGCCTTAAAATTTAACCGATAAAAGCCCATGTGTAGAACTTGTTTCTACAAAACTACTTGAAAAGAAAAAAGGTGTCCAAGAATCTTCAACCATCCCAAAATATTTTATCGAACTTCGGCCCTTCTCTTTTCAAGCATGCCAAAAATCATAGTTTTGTAATATGTGGTTTGTGCCCAATTAATTTACCGGGGATCTTGCATTTTTGTACCCAATATTTGATAGCTGCCTTCTTTTGAACGACAATTCATTGAGGGAGAGAATTACTTTCCTTTTGAATATGAATCGATGTATTTGAAAGGTCATCATCAATTCATGGTAATATAAGGATGCATAACAATTGTCGTGTCTATGATATTTTTTTTAAATTTTTTGGCAGAGAAATTATTTGTCTTGTTCATTTGTGTATAAATATGAAAAGGGAATTCAGTTTAGAAAAGTAGTGTATGATTTTGGGAAAGTAAGCATGTTAGTACCTTGCAAGAACGCTTCCTTTTGGTGCCGGAGAAGAAACTGTGGTGCCCATCTGAAGGATTAAAAAGCAAAAGTTAAGTCAGGACAATCTCAAGGGTGATGCATTCACCCAAACAGATACATATTTTTTATGTCTTACCGTTCCCCTGCTTTCAGCCAAAAGAGGTAGGTTATAGCTGCTTATTTTTACATGAAGATCGTGATCCAATAAAACAATTTTTATGCTCAGATTATTTGATTTAACACCAGGAACAATCCCTGTATGCAGAAACTGAATACCCTTTGCAACTCCAATTGCAGGATGCAAAAGGAATCGCCACTGAACTTTAACAATACTATCCCGCGAAGGGAAAATGAAGGCAACAAAAGATCCTTGTACTCAGGTGAGATGAACTGAAGCATCACTCACCCTTACTACAGGTCCATCAAAAGATCCATGTCTTTGTCCTTTCTTGTAGCTGCATGCACGAGGCTATGATGAGTCATTCCCTTAGCACCTATATTCAGCACCTCCCAGACACCAGCTACATCAATTTCACTCCAATTGTAGTCTGGTGAGATGACCGAAGCATAATCTCGGAACATTTTGAAGCCGTTGTTGAAACATTCAACCATTTCATGGTTATATTCTTCAGATTTTGTGCAACTCCAACTATCATTTCAAAGGTCAACATCAATTCATGCTAATATAAGGATGAATAACAATTGTTGTGTCCATGAGATTTGAATTCAGGATTACTTTCAATGAAGTGGAGACTCTGTTATTAGACCAAATGGCCATTGATATACGATATAATAGCAATATTAGGCCAATATAGGTACACTATAGAGGCAATATTAGAGCAATATAACCATAATACAATAGCAATAGTATTACAATATCACCTATAAAAATATAATTATTGTCCACTTATTGCTGATTTTTGACATGTTCAAAAATTTTGTTCTCTCTTAGCTCACTCAGCTCTCTCTGGCACATCTCTCTTTCTCTTTGGTATCTGTTTATCGCAGCTCTCTGTCTCTCTTGGCTCTCTCTCTCTCTCTCTCTCTCTCTCTCTCTAGGGCCACTCTCTGTCTCTCTCTTTGCTCTCTTT